AAGGTATGGTTCCAACGGGGAGCATATAGGATCAAATGTGTCCGCGCTAATAACCACTAGGGAGCATAGATGCGAAAGTAAAACATTGAGTTCATTAAAAATCTTCATTGGGTCTGCATTATTGCTTTCGAACAACTTGTTTACTTTTTGCACCTGAAAATTAGGCAAATAGTAAAATCGGCTAAAAACGGCTAACTTTTTTTTACAAACCAGCTAACAAATCGGCTGCCGGCTAGATCGAATTTTCTCCGGCTAGTTGCTATCAAAACCGGCTAAATCTAGCCGGAAAACGGCTAAAATGGCAACGCTGATGCCATTACTGCCCTGTGCGAAGAAAACAAGAATTTAGTGAGTATAACAGAAAGTATGCATTCTGATATGCTTGCTATGCAGCGTACTCTGCAAGAAAAAGATGATGTGATTACATTACTCAAGACTGAGTTTAACGACCTACGTTCGTGTGTTAATGCTGCTGTTGACAAGTTGGTTGATTATAACAAACCTATTACTGTGGCTACTGCTAATGCTTGTCTACCCACACTGCAAATTTCTCCCGATGCTTGCTACTCATCTGCGTCTGTTGATGGTTTGCCGATCAACTTGCAGTCACCTGCTGTTGTCAGTGACGCGCTCTCTTCTGCTTGCTCTCTGTCGGTTCCCGCCAATGCTTTATCATCAGCGGTTAAAGAATCTACTTCTGTTGATGCTCTACTGTCCAACATGCAATCAGCTGCTGTCGATAATGTTGCTCTCTCTTCAGTTAATTTCCCTTCTTTACCAGGTGCGTGTGCTGGTGCTGGTACTGTATCCTCTCTCAAGAGCAAAAAGTCGGCCAAATCGCGCCAACGTTTAATGCCGTCAGCTGAAACTGAAATTACTACAGCATCCCCGCAGCAAAATGCTAGTAAATTAAAATATTTCGCGTGTGGTTGGCTCTAATGTCAACGTGGATCTCAAAGTTGCTATGCACACTAGGTGGATTCATTTGGCTTCCTTTATGCCTACTGTTACATCCGACGATATAATAGCCTATGTTGTGAAGCACGCCAACATTGAAAAACAATTTTTGTCATGCCATAGGCTTGTAAAGAGGGGCACACCGGAGCACACATTAAAGCGCGTTAATTTCAAACTGGGTGTTACGGAAAATTTACTGGAGACACTGCTCAATCCGGAAATTTGGCCGGAATATGTTACTGTGCGTCCTTTCCGTTTTTTTTTCAACAGAAGGAAGATCAAACAGCGAAATCGTAGCTGCCTCTACGTCTGAAAGTCAAAGCCAAAAACATATCAATGTATATTTTCAAAACGTTTCTGGAATGAGGACCAAATCTAATATTGTAAGCGAATTGAGCTCACAGGAGTTTTATGATGTGTTTGTGCTGATTGAAACCTGGCTTAACACAAATTTCTTCGACTCTGAATTCTTCGACCCTAATTTGTATGACGTTTTTCGGAAGGACAGAGATCCTACTAAAACCGCTTGTAACAGAGGGGGTGGTGTTTTGATCGCTGCAAGGCGAATGCTACGTGCTACTTCGGTCAGGCTGGACAACAATGACACGCTTCTAGATCAAGTTTGTGTCCGTTTATCTGGTTCATTAGGGAAGGTATTCATCTGCGCTTCCTACATTCCTCCAAGCAGTCACGATTCATTGTATAGAGCACATGTTGACAACATCATCTCCTTACACTCAAGGATTCGGGATCATCAGCTGTGTGTACTCGGTGATTTTAATCTAAGTAATATTAGCTGGTCGTATTTGGACAACTCCTATTTTCTAACGCCTTTTAATGTCACTAACTCCTCTGAAGTTTATTTAGTTGACAACCTCTTAAGAATTGACCTCTGTCAAATCAATAGTTATTACAACAAATGTAATAGAATTCTAGACTTAATTTTTATATCTAGTAATCTTAACTTTAAGCTTTTTGAGTGTTTCTTGCCAATTTCTCCGGCTGGCATTCATCATATTCCTTTAGTACTCACTATTGAGTTCTACGAGTTTTCTAATATCTCTCTGGGAAGTGACCGTGTTAGTTTTAATTTTAACAGATGCAATTTTGAAGAATTTAATAATCTACTGCTAGAGCTTGACTGGGATGGCATCTTTACTAACGTTAATGTTAACCGCAGTTTTGAATTGTTTAGGTCCACGGTGCATAATTTGCGTATGGAGCATATTCCAATATTTTCCAACAGAAAATACAAGCATCCATGGTACACTAAGGAATTGAAGCCCCTCAAAAATCGCTGCAATAAGTATTATAAAAAATTCAAAGCGTCAAATAATACCTTGTATCTCTATAGTTATAAAAGTTGTTCTTCTGAGTTTAGAAAAATGGATAGAGCCCTTCGAAAAAAATATATAAAAAATTTCGAGGACAATATTAAAACTAACCCGAAAGCTTTTTGGTCATTTATTAAATCTAAAAAATGTAAATCTAATATACCAACCTCGATGGTCTATAATAATAAGCATGCGGATTCGGCGGAAGATGCCGCTAATCTGTTTGCTGAATTTTTTAGTGCCAATTTTGTTGCTGATGATGGATTGGAGCTAAATACTTCAAGTGCATCGGATTCCTCTCTTTCGTTTGGCTCGTTATCCTTATCTGAGGTGGATGTTCAAAAGGGTATTGCATCCCTGAAATTTTCAACCCAAACAGATATTGATGGTTTATCTGTCATTCTTTTTAAAAATTGCCAGGCTCTTATTAAGCCGCTAATGCTAATTTTCAATTTATCGCTTTCTTCGGGTACTTTTATTAGTGAATGGAAGAAGACAAATATTACTCCAATTTTTAAAAGCGGAAATAAAAATGACGTTAAGAATTATAGACCTATTGCTAAATTGTCAACGGTTGCCAAGTTACTTGAAGCCATTATGAAGGGCAAAATGGTCTTTTCAGTTCGAAATATCATATCTCCGAATCAGCATGGTTTTATTAAAGGGAGATCCACCGTTTCCAATCTAGCGATTTTTACGGAGGACTGTCTGGAAAGCTTTTCGGCTGGGTTGCAAATTGATACGGTATACACGGATTTTTCAAAAGCGTTTGACAGAGTTTCTCATACAATTTTGCTGGACAAGCTAGCCTGTTTAGGGTTTCACTCTAAATTTCTATCTTGGATTAAATCATATTTAAGTGATAGGTACTGTTCGGTGGTACTTGACGACACGTCCTCCCGATCTTTTCATGCCAGTTCAGGTGTTCCCCAGGGAAGTATCCTTGGACCGTTGTTGTTTATTATTTTTATAAATGATATTAGTTTATGCTTCCTACATGCAAAATTTCTCCTGTACGCGGATGACCTGAAGGTTTATTCTGTCGTAGCAAGAAGGGAGGATTCTTTCGCACTACAGTCCGATCTCGACAGGGTTCACGCCTGGTGCGTGAAGAATCGACTTTTTCTTAATATTGATAAATGTTCTCATTGCATTTTTTCCAGAAAGCTTGTTACTGTAAATACTACTTATTCTATTGCGGGTTCTCAACTGAAGACGGTGAACACGGTTAAAGATTTAGGAGTATATTTTGACTCAAAACTCACGTTTGCAAGCCACATAAATTTTATAGTGGCAAATTCTTACTCTATGTTAGCATTCGTTCGTCGAAACAGCTCTGATTTCTTGGATCCGTATACACATAAGAAATTGTTTATTGCCTTTGTTAGGTCCTGTTTAGAATATGCTGCCTTTATCTGGCGGCCTGCCCAGGTATCATATATAAATAGAATCGAGCGTATTCAAAAGATTTTTATTAAATTTGCACTGCGATCTTTAAATTTCACACAACCTTTGCCTTCTTATACCTCGCGATGTCTACTCTTAAGAATAGAATCACTTGATAATAGAAAAAAATATCTCTCTTGTTCCTTATAATAAAAGTCATAACTGGAGATATGGACTGTCCTGATATTCTAAGTAGGATACCTCTCAATATCCCTACTAGGAACTTGCGTCACTTCGACATATTCTATTTGTATAGAGTTAAATCTAATTATGCCATAAATGCTCCTATCAGTCGAGCTCTTAGTGAGCTTAATCAAATCAATCGAGTTATTGATATTGACCTCTCACTTTCTGGAGGGATATTAAATAATATCCTCTTAAGCTACCTTAATAATAATTAGTAGTTAGATAGTTTCTTAGTAGTCAGTATGAAAATATGTATTCACTGATGATAAATAAATAAATAAATAAATAAATAAATTATTGGATTTAAAGAGTGCATTTTATCATGTGCGAATGAATGAAGACTCCATAAAGTACACATCATTTGTTACTCCTTTGGGGCAGTTCGAGTTTTGTAGAATGCCATTTGGGCTCAAGAATGCTCCATCTACTTTTCAGCGTTTTGTAAATTATGCTTTCGATGATTTAGTTCGATCGGGCAAGGTAGCTATTTATTTAGATGATATAATGGTTGCTACTAATTCTGAATATGAGCATTTGGAAATAATGAAGGATGTATTTGATAGACTAGTTAAAAATAAATTAGAATTGAGAATTGACAAGTGCCGGTTTATGAAGTCCGAAATTAAATATTTGGGTTACTGGATATCGAAAGATGGTATAAGGCCGGATAAAGGCAATGTAGATGCTGTTGTGAATTTGCCGATTCCACGTAGTACTAAGGAAGTACACAGTTTTTTGGAGCTTTCTTCATATTTTAGGAGGTTTATTAAGGGGTTTTCTGTGGAAGCTCAACCGTTATACCATTTGATTAAAAAAGATGTTAAATTCAAATTTGAACAAAAAGACATGGATTGTTTTGAAAAACTAAAAGCTAAGTTGTTAGCAGCACCAACATCAATATATAATCCAAAGGATGAAACAGAATTACATTGTGATGCTAGTTGTCTTGGTTTTGGGGCTATTCTTTTACAAAAAAAAAGTAGATGGCAAATTCCATGCAATATATTACTTTTCAAAACGAACTACCGAAGCAGAATCCAAGTACCATAGTTTTGAATTGGAAACTTTAGCGATAATTTATGCTTTAAAGAGGATTAGGATATATTTGCAGGGATTAAAGTTTCGTATTGTGACTGATTGTAATTCTTTGACGCTAACACTAAACAAACGAGAAGTAGGATCGCCAGATGGGCTCTGGAACTGGAAAGTTTTGATTACAATTTAGAGCATCGAAATGGTTCAAAGATGCAACATGTAGACGCATTAAGTAGAATTTCAAATGTGCTAGCTTTAGAAGAAAACACGTTTGAACAGAACTTATCGATTTGCCAGAACAGAGATCAAGTTATAACACGGATTCGGATGAGTTGGAGAAAAAGGATAGTAAGGTATTCGAAATGAGGAACGGACTTGTGTATCGAAAGGTTGGAAAGGAAATTTTATTTTATGTTCCAAAGGAGATGGAAGAAAATATATATTATTACATGTCCTTTTTTCTAGTTTTTGAAGAAACTATAAAAGTAAACACTTTTTGGCACCGGCACTGTAACAATGTGAATTTTACTTTACGTTAGCAGGCTATGCATTCAAATTTGACGAGCATAAAGGCGCTGGCCCAATGCAGGCTTGCTTTGCGCGCCTTGCTGACTTCAATTTGCTTTGATTTACTTTGAAAACTTTCTTGACCGAATGGTGGCTTGGAACGCTGTCTAAGTAACCAGCTGTCTGGTTGAAAAGTCAATGTCTGTTCCCTTAACGTTAAAAATTATTTCCTAGAAAACTCTAAAAAATTTATCAGAAACTTTCAGATTTATTTTTAAATGAATGCTATAATGATATCTACATTTACTAAAAAAAACTATGACTTAAAAAAGCGATTTACTTGAAGAAAAGAGCTATAAGAAGTTTTTTCCTCTCGTGTAAAACTTGTAAAAGTGGGCTTTGCACCTTTTTACTATAAGATAACGATATGTTAAATATAAATATGGAAGCAATGACTCATTTTTATTTCATTTCGAATTACCTGCATTTTCTGTGACTTTTTTAAATTAAGTAAGCAAATTTTTGTTTGAATTTATGTATTTTGAAAGGAACATACCTCTTTGTCAAAAGCCTACAACACGCTTTCAAATAAAACATTTGCCTATTTCAAACTTTGAGGCGCTTAAAGCAAGTGAAGAAAAGCTGCCATTTGGCCAGCTTTTATACGTTTTAGTATATTCCAAATAATTTTTGACACTTCTCGCAGCGAAGCAAGCAAAGCAAGCCTGCATTGGGCCAGCACCTTAAGATCCCGTTAGCTGTGGAAGTGTTAAAATGAACTGCGACAAAACGATAGCACAATTTGAAGAAATTGAATTTACAGGCTAACCTAATGTTCGCGGCTTGCGTTTTGGTACGCATACCGTCGAATTTGTTTTTTTGCGTCACCCGAAATTGACTTGCATTTGATTTCATTGAGCGAAACGTCAAATCAAAATGTCACGCAGAACAAAACTTGGAAATTGAGCTAGCTTCATACGCACGCCGTTCAATTTCGGTTGATCTCATACAAGTTGCATGTTCATGAGAAATTTTTGGCAATAAATTGGCGGCGTGCGTGAATATTAGGTTAGCCTGTTAGTCAACATTGCGCGGTTTCGAGCGAAACAGTTCTGTGTTTTCTAAATGGTGTTGTTTTTTGTGTACAATTTAAGATATAATTTGCTAAGGATGGGAAGAGGAAAAGCCCCTAAAACAGCTGAAATTAGCGTTGCCCTTAATTTGCAAAAGAAGGGCATGAAAATTGGTGATATTGCGGAGAACTTAAATAGAAGTTGTAAGGTCATCTATAATTTGCTAAAAGATCCTAAAAATTATGGGCAGAATCGTGGTGGGGGCAGACCAAAAGCAGTATCTGACAGAGAAAAGCGAGCTATTTTGCGCGAAGCGTCTAATAGTCATCTAACTGACAGGAAAATTGCTGAAAAAGCAGGTGTAAAAACCAATATACGGAATGTCCATAGAATTTTAAAAAACTGTCAGCACATCAACCGTAAGAAATTACAGCGTAAACCACCCCTTACCACAGTACACAGGACAGCGCGATTAAGTTTTGCAGAAACTCGTTTAAGTTGGAAAAAACGTTGGCGTCAGGTACTTTTTACAGACGAAAAAAAGTTCAACCTTGATGGCCCAGATGGTTGGGCATATTATTACCAAGACCTCAGAAAAGATGAAGACATTTTAAGCCGCCGTCAACATGGAGGGGGTAGTGTGATGATATGGGCAGGAATTGGTTATCGGGGAAAAACTGAAATCAAATTTGTTCCCCCTAAGATGAAAAGTGTAGACTACTTAAATTTAATTGGAAACGAAATAGTCCTACGAGGACAGCAGTTTACTAGAGGGAATATGATATTTCAGCAGGATAATGCAGCCGTTCATACAGCCAAAATAGTAAAGAATTTTTTCCGGGACAAAAACATAAATATTTTAGAGTGGCCAGCGCGTTCCCCTGATCTGAATATCATCGAAAACTGTTGGGGTTATTTAGCCAGAGAGGTGTATGCAGGGAATCGCCAGTATGAGTCCGTAGCAGAACTTAAAACATGCATATTAGCCCACTGGGAGGCCCTTGCTAAAAAATATATAAAAAAAACTATTCAAATCGTTACCAAAACGAATGGCTGAAGTCGTCAAGAAAAACGGAGGGGGTACTCATTATTAAAACATTATCATTCTTTGGTTTGATTATAATACTCAGGAGGATTTCAGTTAACAAACATTTTGTGCTATCGTTTTGTCGTGCTATATAATGAAGTTTTTAGTAAAATTGAAAAATATATTTACGTTTTTAATAAAATTTATATAAAACATTTATTTTCTATTGTTTTTTGGCATTATACTAAGAAATAAATTGTAATTTGTCACTGAAATTCTTTAACACGCACAAATTTCCATTGTGCTATCGTTTTGTCGCGGCCTGTATCACGATGAAATGGGTCATTTAGGATGTGATAAAGTATTGCATTCAATATCAAAAACTTATTGGATCCCTGATGCTAAGAAGAAAATTAAAGCTCATATTGACAATTGTCTAAAATGTATTACGTTTGCTGCAAAGCAGGGACGACACGAGGGGTTTTTACATAATATTCCAAAAGGAAATGTACCTTTTGACACCGTACACATTGACCACTTTGGTCCCATATCGTTAAAGGGCTGTAAAAAAGTATGTATTTTTAGTTGTGGATGGTTTTACAAAATTTGTTAAGTTTTTTCCGACACGAACTGCTGGATCCAGTGAAGTTATAAGTTGCCTTAAGTTGTATTTCAATACTTATAGCCGACCTAAAATTTTTAGTTTCAGATAGAGGAAGTGCATTTACGTCAATCGAATTTCAATTATTTTTAAATTCGAATAATGTAAAACATGTAAAAATAGCTACGGGGTCTCCACAAGCAAATGGACAAGTGGAAAGAATTAATCGCACTTTGGCACCAATGATTGCCAAAATTACTAATGCTGGGGTGATTTATAGCTTTGATAAAATTTTGCCGAACATAGAGTTCGTTTTAAATAACTCGCATCATCGAAGCATTGGTACAACACCAGGTATATTATTATTTGGTGTGCCACAGAAAGGGCCCGTAATAGACTTTTTGAAAGAAAAGTTGGAGGATTTTGTTTGCATGAGGAGGAGCGAGATTTAGAAAAAACCCGTTCTAAAGCAGCGGAAAATATAAGAAAATGTCCAGACTATAATAAGATTCAAAAAGATCGTAATAGGATTTCCAAGACATATAATGAAGGAGATTTTGTGGTTGTTAGGAATTTTGTTAGTAGTCCTGGGGTGTGTAAGAAAATTGCTCCAAAATACAAAGGACCTTATAGAGTGGCAAAAGTTTTACCAAATGATCGTTATCTGATAACAGATATAGAAGGTTTTCAGATGAGTCAGATTCCATATGAGGGGGTATGGGAAGCGGCGAACATGAAATCGTGGTTAGTAATAAAGATTAGGAGGCAATCGGGGCGATTGTAAGTCAGGATGGCCGAACTGTAGCACATATTAACTGTAGCACACCTACTGTAACATATGTATCTCAATTGTAACACACTTGTAACTGTAGTGGCTTTAGGTAAAGAACTTATAAATGTAACATAAAAAGAATTTTTTCATTCATAAATATACTGGCAAAGAATAAAGAAGAAAAAAGAACTTTCCTGCAAAATTAATATAATTTTAATTGAAGAAAGAATACTATAGTACGTAGGTAGCTTTTTGCCTAGATTTGCATATATGATTCTTTTTTCCAGGAAGTGGACCAGGAACCGATCCAATCGAAGAAATCGTATTTATGGTCCGATTTTCTTAACCCAAATTGTCCCAGATTATTATTTTTAAATTTTTTTTGGTTTCCCCTATATACAGGGTAAAAGTAGGGTTAAAGTAAAGGAAAAAATATAACTAAAACTTTGGGAGTAGTATAGTTTTTCCGATATCGGCCGGTGCCATATGGCAACACGGGGCGTATTCCAGATGGATTGTTAGAGGACAGTATTTGGTTAAAATATGAAATAATAGAAACATTGTGTTTAAGTTTTAATATATTTATTGCTAATATATGCATATTCAACGAACAAAGCGGATAGAGAAGTTAATGAAATTATATTCAAAAATTTTTAATGAGCTTGAAGCCGTTTTTAATGAAAAACTTATTATGGAAAAGCAACAATAAATTGAAAAAATGGTAGAAGTGATAGCTATTTCGGAAATCACCACATTTCCTCATCAGACTTCTTTCAGTAGGCTACGAACCGACGATCCCACTGACTCAGCCAGTTGCGTATGCACTGTGCTAAGTTCGCCTTGTAAATTATCGTTGCTTTTTTCCCACTTTTTCATTTTGTTATGCCAACACAATCAAGCGCAGCTATTCCGCTGCAAGTCACTTGATCGTGTGGTTGTTGGTTTTGTTGGTTTTTGTTAATATTTTCTATTATTAAAATGTTTAAATTTTAGCTGTGCTCATCATTAAGTTATTTGTGTTTGTTATTTTATGGCCTTATAACAATTATATTCAACAATTTTTATTGAGCTCGAGGCCGGTTTTTAATGAAAACTTATTGTGGAAAAGCAACTATAATTTGAAAAAAATGGTAGAAGTGATAGCTATTTCGGAAATCACCACATTTCCTGATCAGACTTCTTTCA